CCCAGGAGTTGGAGGTTGCTGTGAGCTGTAATGCCATGGCACTCTACCCAGGGGGACAGCTTGAGGCTCTGTCTCAAAAAAAAAAAAAAATTTACTTATTTATTTATTTGAGACAGAGTCCCACTCTGTGCCCTAAGCAGAGTGCAATGGCGTCATAGCTCACTGCAACTTCAGACTTGGGCTGTGGGTATCCTGCTGCCTCAGCCTCTGGAAGCCGCTGGGATTACAGGTGCTCGCCACAGCACCCAGCTGGGTTTTTCAATTTTTTTATGTGTTGGGTTCTCATTCTCGCTCAGATAAGTCTCAAACTCCTGAGCTCAAGTAAGTCTCTTGCCTCAGCCTCCCACAGTGCTGGGATTACCAGCATGAGCCAACACACTCTGCTTTATTTCATTTGTTTGTTTTTGAGAGAGTCTCAAGCTGTTGCCCTGGTTAGAGTACCGTGGTGTCATAGCTCACATCAACCTCCCACTTGGACCCAAGCCATCCTCTTGCCTCGGTTTTCTATTCTTAGTAGAGATGGGGTCTCACTTGTGCTCAGGCTGGTCTCAAACTTATGAGCTATAGCAATCCACCCACCTTGCCATCCCAGAATGCTTGGATTATAGGTGTGAGACATCGTCCCAGAATGCTTGGATTATAGGTGTGAGACATCGTGCCTGGCCCTTTTTATTTTGAGACAGAGCTTCACTTTGTTGCCTCTGGTAGAGTGCCCTGGTGTCATAGCTAAGGCAACCTCAAACTCTTGGGCTCAAGCAATCCTCTTGCAGGCCCGGCGTGGTGGCTCATGCCTGTAATCCCAGCACTTTGGGAGGCTGAGGTAGGTGGATTTGCCTGAGCTCAGACGTTCAAGACCAGCCTAAGCAAGAGTGAGACTCCCATCTCTAAAATATAGCCTGGCATTGTGGAGGGCACCTGTAGTTCTAGCTACTCAGGAGGCTGAGGCAGGAGAATTGCTTGAGCCCAAGAGTTGGAGGTTGCTGTGAGCTATGGCACCACAGCACTCTACCAAGGGTGACAAAGTACAACTCTGTCTCAAAAAAAAAAAAAGAAATCCTCTTGCCTCAGCTTCCCACATAGCTGGGACTATAGGTGCCCGCAAGAAGTTTTGACTATTTTTTAGAGACAGTCCCACTCTTGCTCATGTTGGTCTCAAACTCTTGAGCTCAAGCAATCCACCTGCCTTGGCCTCTCAGAGTGCTGGGATTATAGGTGTGAGCCACCTCCTCAGTATCAGGGCTCAAGTTTATTTATTTTTATTTTTATTTTTTTTGAGACAGAGCCTCAAGCTGTCCCCCTGGGTAGAGTGCCATGGCATCACAGCTCACAGCAACCTCCAACTCCTGGGCTCAAGC